TTTTTTTTGTGGAAATGAAAGACAGTTTTCGTATAATAAACAAATACTTTATTAAATTATATATTGACCGTTCTGGTCCAACACCTTTTGCCATCTTTCTGGTAGTAGCATAATTCCACGCTCATAAAATTTTTGGTCTTTGCTGGCAAAAAACTGATTTTGCGAACGATGTTACCAAATATTTAAAATGTAGAATACTTATTTACTAATAATACAAAAATCACCTCCGAAAATATTCGAACATTATATTGTTACATAATATTGTAAACGCTTTCTAAAAATATCTTATACGCCAAAGTGTTTCATCAATCATTGCTAGGAATTCATCACCAGATTAAACAAGGCTCGGAAATCACTAACGATTAAACTAAAATGCCATCATACAACAAAAAAAAAACCAGGCCGGAGTTTTTCTGCAGACGCGTTAAGTGTCATTGCATAATCGAATATGGAGTCCAAGATTACATCTCGTAGAAGGCGATCTTTCACTATATCATCGACAAGTCAGGCCAGCTTTCTTACATAACGATGGACGGACGAACGAATGGATGCAAACTTATAACAAACTTTCACAAACCACACGATCAATGTTACCAGTTGGTTAAAAAAAAAAGTTGTAGAGGAGCAAGGTGGGCTATCAACAATACGGACATTAATAATGTTAATTAATTAAAAAAGATACACAATGGATGCTACGAATCGGAAACAGCAGATGATTATTACAAATTAAATTGCTATGACTGACAGTAGGTAATAGATAATTAAAAATATTTTCGAAAGTTTCTCTCTTTACGTAACGTTGAAGTCTCTGAATTTAAATATTGTTTTCAATAACGTGAAAGACAAACAACGCCTTGTATAAATGGAAAATAATAAGAATATATACTTAAAGTGTTTTAGTCATTGAAGCCCCAAAAGAACAATTAAATTCAAATCCCTAAGCACTTTGAAAGTGCTTCAAGCGCCTTAAAAGAGCGTCTAGTTCTTTGAGTTACAAATTACAAAGCACATTTGTTATGCACATTTACCAAACCTTAACTTTCTGAAAGGGCTTGAATTTCAGTATTTTAATGTCTTCTCATTTTCAATCTCTTCAGCACTAATAAAATTCTGCCCAACTCTATATCTTATTGACTTTCACAGCGCAAAGAAAATTATCAAATTATTTTCAATTACTTAAGAACCTACACGTGGTACATATTGTATGAAACATATGTATACATATGTACGCTAATAGAACCACTCATACGATCGCGCCCCGCATTTTTATCGGTCGCGCGTGATATAACAATCGAATAAATTCACTTTCTACATGAGCTTATTTGATTACGAACGAACAAGATGCAAGGCTCTGAGGCTTTAATCTTCTTCCGGCAAACTGGGAAGTAGGTAGGAAAACGCGGAACACAGAAACGAGCATAAAACTTATGTTTGTATAATCGAACGAGCACCTAGAGACCAGGATCCGCCACGAAATGTCAGAAAGTGTTGAAGAGAATGCTTCTCACGGAAAATAACTTGTTACAACAGCAAACAAACTTGTAATCAACGATGAATAATGTAATACATACTTCATTTTGTATAAATAACTATTCTCACATTAAAATAAAAAAACAGAATCTTTCTTTATATGACAATTCATGTGATCAACTGTCTGGATGATGGTACGATGACGCCCATGAGACATGAAAGGTTAGTTAGAGACATACTAAAAGAAGCAGGAATAAGAGCTCGATCAGATTGGCTTATTGTTAGGATAGGAAATAGTGGAGGTGCTATCACATTCGCTTTACTCAGAATCTTATTAATGTCAAAAAAGTGTTATCTAAAGTTCAAATATAAAACAGCCATTTTGAAGTATCTTCGTTTTTATGGTATTTGATCTCCTAAATTCCTGAGAATATTGAACTTCTTTTTAAGCCCGATGCCGACAATATCTTCAAATTCTGTTTGTCTGCATGTCTTTCTGTTACACATTAATTGATGTCCGCTGCAGTTCCTACCTGACATCTCTTTTCTATGTTTACGATATTCCCTATAACGTCTGTCATGAGTAAAAGTAGGCGTTTTGTCAGCAACCGTTCTAGTGTAGTTAGTAAGTTGAAAAAAGAAAGTAAATGCGACAATTTTATTGCCGATCATTCCAATTTTAAACGCCCCAACTATACATAAAAATAAAACTGAAGTGTTAGTCTGTAATATTGAATTAACTGCACCAGCCAGTAGGGGCAGTAGGTCTACCTCTACCCCTCCTAACTCATGTTTCTGCCTCTAATATGTCTCTGACTAGACCTTCATGCCTGAGAAGGTGTTCTACCAACCTATCTCGCCTATTTCTTATTGACTTCCATAGAGTCCTCTGTTCTCCTATTCTTTCCAATACCTCTTCATTTCTAACCTTTTNGAACAGCCCACATCCTTAACTATTTGCGAACAGTAATCTAATCTAGGTCTACCTCTACCCCTCCTAACTCATGTTTCTGCCTCTAATATGTCTCTGACTAGACCTTCATGCCTGAGAAGGTGTTCTACCAACCTATCTCGCCTATTTCTTATTGACTTCCATAGACTCCTATTGTTTCTAATACCTCTTCATTTCTAACCTTTTCTACCCACGTTATCCTCATCATTCGCCTATAACACCACATTTCGAAAGCTTCTAACCTTTTCTTTTCCGCCGCACCCACTGTCCATGTTTCGCACCCGTACAACGCCGCGCTCCAAACACACACATTTACCAATCTTTTTCGAATTTCTAAATTAATCGTTCGCGAGCATAGAAGTGACTATTTAAATAAATACACCAATAGTTATTATTATAGTTACTTTAAAAAAGTATCAGAAGGTATTAATACACAATTTGTTTGTCTACAATTTTCTATTATACATATTTTAACGTTTGGTCTTCTGAATGGCTAGTTCTAAATTAATTTCTACGAACTATTTTAATTCTGAAATAAATCATAAAATACTTTCTAAACAACCAGTGATGTGTGCAAATTGGACATTGACTAATTGATTATGTGATACTCGGTAAAACGGTATTTAAATCTGATAATTAATTTATTACGCATGAACTATCTTATTACTTACCATAGAAATGCAAATATCATGGACATAAGTTGATGGTATTTGTTTTTCAAAAATTTCTACAAATTCTGTTACAGATATTTTGTTAAATTAGCATGGTATTATTATTATTACATTAATTCGATCGATCAATTTTCGCATGAAAGATTCCGTTCTTAACTTTTATGTTTTTTTGCGAAACAATTTGTTTACTAAAAATTCCTAGAAACGTAATTTCAAGAGCGCACGAAAAGCTGTTCAACAAATAAGCCTTTAAAACAAAAGAATATCAACTTTCTATTCGCTGAATCTGAGCAAAAAGCCAAATTAAAAACAAGTAAAAACCACTGACCATGACGTTGTTGAGAGTAATA